TGATGCTGTAAAAAACTTAAATATTCTGGAAAGCCTCAGCCAGTTAATACATTTTCAATATGACCTAATGACTAAAGTTTGTATTAAACGAATTTCTATAGTTATTAAATTCTACTATCTACTACAAATATTTTTCTTCATTTCGCACCATGCGATTCATCCTATCTACTTAGGACTTTTTCCGCTTGTTATATTTCCTTAATAAATTTCCAAAGTAGATCCTTTCAGAGGTTTTGGCAGATTTATTTTGGAAATATATTGAAATTCAGGAAGATAAATGCAATTAGCTAGCTCTGATTATGTATATAAAGGTGTTATAAGATAAATATGAATATAATAAGGTATAAGATTGAGGTACGACCATAAATATGTGTGGTATTATTTATATTTCAAATCCAAAAGCAACTATAATCTCAGTTACTTATTTATCTATAGCAGTTATAAACTGTAAGAAAACTATACGCAAGTCTAATCATTTAAAGGTTGATAGCATCCGCCTACACTAGTATACTATGAGTTATACTGCCCGTTCTGGTTTTATGGGGTCACAATATAGCGGTAAAATATTCTTGAAATTTGCGTTCCAAAACGAAAACAAAAATATTGCATGCATATGCGCATTTTTGATAGAGTATATGCATTGATTTTTAAAGTTAGTCATAGGAAAGATTTAGCCTTTATTAAATGATGATATTTCCTCATATATATTGATAGTTATACTTAAGTAAGTAATATCCCAGATAGTAGCTCCACTATATCTATTTTATATGTTACATTGTACATCTTTTCTTATTAGGATAGCAAACCAGTTTCTTCGCCTCATTCATCCTTAATTCACTAAGGTGTCATTGTTCGCAAGTTTGAGGCATATCGTAAGTGATAGTAAAAAATGTTAATATTAACAAAAAACGTTTTCGGGATATAATATAGCGTTATACTTGCTAATAAAGGCATAAACTCTACTAAACTGAGCGCTGGTATCTCATTCTTTAAAGTCTAAGTTTACTTTCTTTTAACCAAGCCTAGATTAGCGAGAAAGCAAGTTAACCCTATTCAGGATAATACTTGATTTGCATATATGCAACGACATCAGTTATACTTTGGAGAAATCTTACTCAATCAAACGCTTACACATAATTCTCTCCATTATGATAGCCATTTAACCCAGCAATATAAGAATTTTTACCATCCATCTTTAAGATTTAGCTTTTGCTAAATCAGGCATTGAATACTATATGGAATATTCGATAAAGTTTCCATGAATATCAAACTAACTGTTCTCCGCTTGCCTTGCAGTTCTTAAAAATATGTTATAGATATCCCATAATCACTTTCTTGATACCACTATTTACATATCTGCACATTAGCATTAACGAAAGCTTTCCACTCAACTAGCGTTTCGAATAGGACGTAAGAAACTTACCCACGAAAGGGACTTTATATCATACTAGTAACTACATCACGCCAAGCATAATATGTAAGTCTTTTTAATACAAGCTCTAAACATTACTAAGATCATTAAGATCTGCATATAAAAAGCTCACGTCAACCATACGCCTTAGTTTATACTTGTCTGTTTAGGATATAAAGCATACACCTCGTATTTAGGCATTTCTCTATCCTTTTGCTGGTCATTTTCCTATATACAATAATTTCTATCTGATTAACATTAGAATTTGGTTATATATACCCACATTTATATAAACCAACTAGATTCTCATCATGAAGAATATTCAACAGAGCAAGAAACCTCCAAAGAAAGAGAGCATATTGAACAATGCATCCCAGTGATAAATAGCCTCTTCAGGCTGAGAAAGCAGCCTTTTCCTTCCGATGGTTCCAATCAATCCAGCACACGTTGCATCGCTTCTTATCGGCTGGTGCACATTCTTTTTACTGAGATTATAAGTCAAGGGGCAGAATTTCTAACGGCTGGCCGCTTTATCAAGCTAGTGGAAGCAACCTCCTGCCTTTTTCGCTTTCGACCTGACTCTGCTGCACAAAGCATTAAAAATCCCCAAGTCTCGCCATGCCTTTCCGTCTGTCCTACAATGACTAACAGCGAAGCAACTCAGGGCTGTCAGGAAAAGGACAATGCAAAGATAATACCTCCAGTTTCTTACGGATTTCGGGTCGAAGCCAAGGGGTCACGTATACCTCGGTTCTCTAATTCATCTTCGTTTGCCTGCCTGCCATTTCTATCACGCAAGTCGGACGAAAATCTCGGCACTGAAAAGGCTAATGTAGATATGCTGGTGATGGGTATTGAAGGATGGAACAAAATAATTTTGATCAATGCAAAATTTGACTTGATCTTGTATTTAAAGGCATTAATCATTAAGGTATTTCACAAGATGTACTACTTATAGATTGATATCTCTTTAAGTGTTAACGGTCTAATAGCTATATATATATTTTTTTTGGCATTCCTCAATAAGTTTACTCATTTCTTAGGAGTAATTTGAGGTTAATAATTGGCAAAATTGTTAACCTTTTATAACAAAACAATATATCTCCAACAAGATACCAATCAATACAAGGCCTCATAAAAATATAAATTTATATATAGAACAGGATAAAGTAAAATATGAAATTTGTATAAGCATCAGAAATTAATGAACATTTTTAGGCAGACTATAAATAATATTATTATATTCTATGTTTA